CCGATGCGGCCCGATGTGGAGCCCGATTCTCTTCACGTCGACGTCGCCGATGCATCGCCGACGTCGACGATGCATCGCCGATGCATCGCCGATGCATCGCCGATGCATCGCCGATGCGGCGCGATCCTCCGACCCCATCTACTCCGACTCCATCTAGGAGGCTTCTACTCGAGCAGCCAAAGAGACGCGCCGTTCTCGTCAGCCCCCCCCCGCCCTCACTGTCGCCGTCTGGGGGCCGCCTCCCAGCCTCGGGGCGGGCACGCCACGATCCGGGATGGGACGCCGGCCACGCGGCAGCAGAGGTCGAGGAGCCCGGGGGCCAGCGTCCAGGACGGGGTCGAGGCGTCGGAGCTCTTGGTCTCCGCGCGGGGGGGGATGGAGGAGCTGGGCTGCCCACGATTCGATCGAGTCGGTGACGCGTGCCGATGCCTGCGCGTCTGCGCGTGCAAGGGTCCATCTGATCTCGCACCCCATGGGTGGCTCCTGTCCTTCACTCACGGATGGGGCTCGGTCTGATCCACTCGGTCCATTCCAACGCTCTCCTCTTGGCGCGGAGAGGAGCGAGGGGCAAGTCTGTTTTTTTTTGCGCGTCGAGCCAGGCAGGGCTGACGCGTGCCGCCGGCCTTCCCGCCCCACTCCCCCCCGCTCCCCCTTTTCGGTCAAACCGGCGATTCTCGAAGGACGCCTTCCTTCCGGAGTCGGGCCAGACCTGTCGACATGCGGCCCTGCTGGGATCGGGCCTTTAGCACCGCTGGGCCTGAGCCTGGCCACGGCTCCTTGAGCCAAAATGGCTACGGCCATTTCCCCTCCCTCCCCCTCCCTCCCCCCTCTCCTTTCCCCTCCCGTGGCCGCGGTGCGCCCGGCCCGAGGAGGAGGGCATCGGCGTGTCGGGCCTCTCTGGGGAGTTCGACAGGACCCCAGGGCGCTTCCCTCGGCACACCGCCAGGAAGCTGGAAGCACCCACAGCCTCGGCTGCCGGAGTCCTGTCCTGGATGCTTGTGGGCCTCTCGGGACGACGACGACGACGACGACGACGACGACGACGACGACGACGACGACGACGACGACGACGACGACGACGACGACGACGACGACGACGACGGCGGCGACGACGACGACGACGACGACGACGACGACGGCGACGACGACGACGACGACGACGACGACTACGACGACGACTACGACGAAGGCGGCGGCGAGGGCGGCGGCGGCGGCAGCGGTGCTGGGTGTGGGTATTTTCTCCTGTTCCCAGGGGCGGGCAGAGGTTTGGTCGGGCATGGCCTCCTACAGGCGGAGTTTGGACGAACAAGAAAACGTACCCCAACAATTTTCAAAAATGTCCAAAATAGGTATAAAAAAGTCCACAGACTATTGCATTAATATTTTCGAATATTCTTCCTGCAGAGGGATAGGCTCGACTGAAGCTGAGGTCGGCCTCGCCTTCCCGCCCTCGCCGGCCCGCCCTCGGACCCCAGGGCACGCCTCCCGGGCGGGGGATCTAGGGGCAATAATCTCTGGATGCGGGCCCAGATCCGAGGCCCGAAAGCCATCACTTCACTAATTTTGGGCCCCAGGGCCCACTGAGGCCCCAGGGGCCCCAGATTAGTGAAGTGATGTTTTCTTCCCCACGTAAGGACCCCGAAATTCATCACTTCGCTAAACCGAACCCAGGACGAAAGTCAGGGGCCTACTTGCTGCTGTGATGCCACATCGGCCTCGTACCAGACCTCCGGCGGGCTGGTGCTCTCGAGGGTGGCATTCTTGCGGGCTGTCGGGCGCCCAGGGGCCGTGGTCGGCCTGCGGGGGCATTCCGGCAGGGATTTTGGCCGAGCAGCCGCTCCGCTGCACGGGGCCGACGGCTCGCGGATGGAGAACATGATCGCACGCCAGAGGTCCAGGTCCTTCTCTGGGGCTTCAGCAGGTCCTTTTAGGGCTTCAGCAGGTCGGGCCTGCGGGGGGCATTCCAGCAGGATTTTGGCTGAGCAGCCGCCCCGCTGCACGGGGTCGACGGCTCCCACGGATGGAGAAAATAATCCCACGCCAGAGGTCCAGGTCCTTCTAGGGCTTCAGCAGGTCCTACATTTTTTTTCCGGGCGCTGTGGACACACGTTCACCTGTTTCTGGTCCGTTTCCGCCGCGAGGGACCGTCACGCATTGATCCGGTAAGGCAAGTCCTGCATCAAAAGATGGGCTCGAGAGTTCAGACGTGGCTCTTCACAACGTCGTGTGCACACATTCCATACACATTGTTCATGTCTAATTCATCGGAAGTTCTTTGACTTGTTTGGGGGCCAAGCTCCTTTCATTTCTACTTGTTGTATCCTGGGCCTCTTCCTGGCCACTAGAGGGCCAGGAACAATTTGAAACGAGCACAATTAGAAATGAGCACGATTAATAATGAACGACGCGTGCACTTGGTTGCATTGATCTGTTGGGTGGCTCGAATATTCCACGAGGTTGATCACTTGCCTTTCCCAGCACGTGGGATCTTCCACTGGCTACGAATACTGTCCTCTCCGGGTTTCCATTGGTAACCTCGGACGTGCCTGGACCAGAGTAAGTCCCGTAGCGCCCAGCATCGCGAGAGTGCTGACTCCAGGCCTTGAAATGCATTCTGGTCGGGCACTCGTGTTGTGCGGGCTCCTATTACTTAGCTAGCTCCCAGCGTGCGCCAGTTGGAATTGTCCTTGAGATTGCCCTTCACTGCTATAATGTCTTAATTCCCGTCCCCTGCCTCTGCCCTTCGCCATCCCTTTACGCAGGCGTTATGTGTGTTCATCTCGTTGGCTGCGGTTGTCAGAGGAGATACTTTGGCGCATGCATCCATGCTTTTACGCGTGTGCTTGTTCACGCTGGTTCAGGCCACCGTTGGTCTTGATGGTAGGGACTTCCGTTTCCGCCCTCCCCGTCCTCCTCTCTCTCTCTATCTCTCCCCTTCTCCCTCTCTTTCTCTCTATATAGGTCCCTGTGCCCCCCAAGACCCTCCTTTTTCCTCTTGGCAGGTCCAAGAAGAAAGGGCGTATCCGTGGTGTCTTGCCCGTGGTGCTGCTGGTGCTGGAATCTGCGTTTGCGGCGCTGTGTCGTTCGCGGTGGCGTTGGCGTTCGTGTGTTGCGGTGTCCTGCTGGCGGTGCGGGTGTGGGAGAAGCGTGTGGTGCTGGAGCGGGGGCGGGCGGCGGGCGAGCGGCCAGCGGCGGGCGGCGTGCGGCGGGCGGCGGGAGCACATGCTCAGCGCCCCCAGCCTGTTCCCCTTCAGGGCGGCAGCAACGGCGATGCGCCACCACCAGCACCGCCACCGTGGGCACGACGCCGCGGTGCGCAGTGTACCGGCGCCACCATGCCAGTAGGTCGGGGAGGATGAGGAAGACGACGACATTTACAGCAACGACAACGAGGACGACGAAGACGACGGCGGCGACTACAAGGAGGAGGAGGACGACGGCGACGACGACGATGCCGGCTTCACAACCACAATCTCAACTCGTCATGACCAGCTCCACCACCGTCAGTGCCACCAGCGCACAGTTCGGGGGAGCGTAAGACCCGGGTTTGCCAGGACTCGGGTTCGCCATCGTTTTTTGACGACCGCGACTCGGGTTTTGACGAGGAGGGGTTTTGTGGGATGTCTGCAGCGGGAGGCCTCGTCAAAATGCAGGCTCGGCCTCGTCATTTTTTTGACGACCTCGTCGGGGATTTCCGAGTCCCCCGTACCCGGGTCTTACGTCTCCCCGAACAGTGATGACGACACGGATTCTGACGACGACAGCGAAACAACGCCAAAGGCCAAGGCAGGCGACGGCAACGCTGCTGAAAACGTCGTCGATGACGACGACGACGTCGACGTCGACCACCCGCCGCCAACCCGCACCACTGGCGCTTTTGTTGTGAAGCTCGTTTTGTTTTGGAGCGTATTTTGGACCCATCTGGCCTGGTCAGTGTCATCCTCCCCCCTTGCCCAGTCCTCCCCTCCCTGGCCTCCATCCCTCCCCTTGCCTCTCCTGTTCTGCTGCTACACCTGGCGCCCAGGGTGGGGGGCAGCAGCAGGGGTATGGATCGAGAGTCGACCGCCGAGATCCCCTCCCGTCACCCGACCCACGCCTCCTCTTCGGGCTGCAAAGAAGATGGCCTCCAGCACCTCTGGGCGCATCACGCTGTGGCCTGACGGCTGGAAGCTGCCCTACCTCTCGGAGATCAAGTGGGGCCGGCACGTGTTGCTGAGCACGTGCGACGGGGGGGCGAAGGGTAAGAGGATCGATGATCGGAGTTTGCTGTTGCGTTCTTATGCCTTGGCACACATATGTATACATACATACGTACATACATACATACATACATACATACATACATACATACATACATACATACATACGAAAGAGCGTGTTCTACCGCTGCTGGCGGAAAACCGGGGGGGGTCACTACCGGTTCGAACCCCTCCCCCCCCCCCCTCCGGAAAACCGGGGGGGGTCACTACCGGTCCCCCCCCCCCCCCCCCCCCCCAGCTCATCATGAAAAGGGGGGGGGGTCACTACCGGTTCGAACCCCCCCCCCCCCCCTCGAAAACCGAGTGGGGGTGCGGACAGTGGTGGGGACGGTGTTGGTGGGGACAGTGGTGAGGGGACAGCGGGACAGTGGTGGGGACAGTGGGGGGACAGTGGGACAGTGGTGGGGACGGTAGTGGTGGGGACAGTGGTGGGGACAATGGTGGGAACAGGGGGGACAGTGGACAGTGGTGGGAACGGTGGTGGTGGGGACAGTGGTGTGGGGACAGTGGGAATGAGGTGGAAACACTGGGACAGTGGAGGGTACAATGGTGGTGGGGACACTGGTAAAGGCGGTGGCGAGGACGGCGGTGGGACAATGGGACAGAGGTACAGTGGGGACAGTGGTGGGGACAGTGGGGACAGTGGTGGGAACAGTGGGACAGCTCAGTGGGACAGCGGAGGAGTCAGTGGGACAGTGGGGACAGTGGGGATAGGCAGTGGTTGGGTCCGTGGAGACAGTGGGGAGAGTGGAACCGTGGTGGGAACAGTTGTGGGAACAGTGGGGACAGTGCGACAGTGGTGGGGGCATGGTGGGGACAATAGGGACGGTGGTGGAACCAGTGGGGACAGTGGTGGTGAGGACAGTGGTGCTGGGAACAACAGTGGGGGATGTGATGCGAGCGGTGGTAGGGACCGGGAGTCGTTTGCTGGCGGTGCGTGGGGGGGGGGGGTCGAACCGGTAGTGACCCCCTCCGGTTTTCGAGGGGGGGGGGGGTTCCAACCGGTAGTGACCCCCCCCGGTTTTCCGGATCCGGAGGGGGGGGGGGGGAGGGGTTCGAACCGGTAGTGACCCCCCCCGGTTTTTTGAGGGGGAGGGGGGGGGGGGGGGTGGGGAGGGGTTAGGGGGGGGGGTTTTGCCGGGAGGGAGGGGGGGGGGGGGGGGGGGGGGGGGGAGGGTTCCCAGGGGGGGATTTTCGGAGGGGGGGGGGGAGACCCCCGGGTTCCGGAGGAAAAGGTTGGCAATTTTCCACAGTAAAGCGGCGGTGGATCACGCTCTCTCATACATACAGACAGACAACCAGACAGACATACATACATAGTACACACCTACATACATACACACATACACACATACACACATACACACATACATACATACACACCTACCTGCCTACCTACCTACCTACCTACCTACCTACCTACCTACCTACCTACCTACCTACCTACCTACCTACCTACCTATACATACACACATACATACATACATACATGCATGCATGCATGCATACATACATACATACATACACACATACATACGTACATTCATACATACACATACATACATACATACATACATACATACATACATACATACATACATACATACACACCTACCTACCTACCTACCTACCTACCTACCTACCTACCTACCTACCTACCTACATCCATGCATACATACATACATACATACATACAGACACACATACATACATACATACATACATGCATGCATGCATACATACATACAGACATGCATGCATCCATATATACATACATACATACATACATGCATGCACACACACCTACCTACCGACCTACCTACGTACCTACCTGCCTGCCTGCCTACCGACCTACATACATACATACATACATACATACATACATACATACATACATACATACACACACATACATACATACACATACACATACATACACATACGCATACACATACATACACATACATACATACACACATACAGGTGCCCATTGTGTGTGTGTGTGTTTTCAGATGAGGTGCCCCCCAGGGTTCGCACGCTTTTGTTAAAATTCTTGGGGCTCAAGCTTCGGCATTGGCCCTTGGACTTCTACAATAACGCCCCCCTGTGGAGGCCTCTCTTGGAGGCCCCGCTGAGGGCCGCATTGCGCTGCGGCCCTCGTCGTTGTCTTTGTCGCCGTCGTCGTCGCGAGTCCTTCCCATCAGCTGCCCTCCGATCGGCCGGGGCGGCAGGTGCAAGGGGGGCGTGGACCTCGATGACCCCACGAAGACTATCACCGCGGAGGCCCGTCGCGGCGGCGGGGCGCACCCCCGCCCTCCCCCCCCAGTTCTCCCCACCCTCCTCCTCCGCAGAGCGAGAGAGCGGCGGGCGCCCAATGGCACTGATGCGTTTCGCCGGGGTTGGCTTTCGCCGGGCTTCGTTTCGCCGGGCGTCGTTTCGCCGGGCTTGCTTTCGCCGGGGTCGGCTTTCTTCGGGCTTCGCTTCGCCGGGGTAGGCGGTAGGCTTTCGCTGGGGTTGGCTTTCGCTGGGCTTCGTTTCGCCAGGTTTCCTTTCGCCCGGGTTGGCTTTCGCCGGGCTTCGTTTCGCCGGGGTTGGCTCTCACAGGGGTTGGCTTTCGCCAGGGTTGGCGTTCGCTGGGGTCGGCTTTTGCTGGGCTTCGTCTCGCCGGGGTCGGTTCGCCGGGGGTTTGATCCTTTTTGGGTTTCTTTTCCTCTTCTTCTTCTTCTTCTTCTTCCTCCCTCATCCTCCTCGTGCCCCCCCTTCTCCTACAGCCAAAAGTGCCAATTCCTGATTGGGGGCACGAGCGCGGCGCGAGCCGATTTCCCGATGGCGCCGCTAGATGAGCCCGGTATGCACGTCCCGCGCGAACGCGAGCTCGCCTACAAGGCCGTCTCATGCGACACCTTTCGTCCCGTTTCCTCGGGGAATGTCTTGGGGCTTATCATGGCTGTGGTCTAGAGCTCTGGTGGGGCAATGCACGGGCTCCTGTGGGGCAGTCTTGGGGCTCCCTTGGGGCCCTCTTGGGCCGTCTTGGGGTCCCTCTTTGGCCGTCTTGGGGTCTTTTTGGCCGTCTGGAAGATCTCTTGGCGCCGACGTCGGGCCTGCTTGATGCTATCGTGAGGCCGTCTAGGTGCCCTCTTTGGGTTCTTAGTGGGCCCTGCTGGGCTTTCGAAGACCGCAATCGGACCGATTTTCGACCGAAGGGCACGGAGAACGAGAATCATGGAAAATCATGGAAGAGCGTGGGTATCAATGTTTCTGGCTACGTGAGGACCTGCTGGAGAGAGTCTTGCGTGTGTCTCGGAGCCAAGAAGGGGCATCTTGGGGAGCTGCTGGGTGCCTCTTCAGGCCATGTAGTGCTGGCTATCTTGGCGGCCTTGGCAGCCTTCCAGACGTGCGACCCAGGGAGCCTCGGTATGGGACGGAACGCGCAAAGAACTGCAGGGCAACACATGAAGAGCTTCAGGAACAAACGGAAACCCTACCACAAAACACTTAGCATTCGACCACGCCTCGGAGCGCCAGGGAGCACCGAGGCGGATTACAGTCCTCGTTAGCAGGATCACAGTAGTCGTTTGGGCAGTCGCGGTGGAGTTGGGATGTACGTAGGAGGATGGAGAGGAAACAGGAGAAGAGACGGGGGACTGGATTGACGGGATGGGGGAGATGGGGGGAGTGATAGTTTCTCGGTTCTCCACTGCCGCTGCGGTGCTTCTTGGCTTGTCGAGTGCAGAATCCCATTCTGCCCCGCGGGAGAGGTGGAGAGCATCTATGGCAGCACGATGACCCTCCTGACCGAGTACGAGCGCGTCCCAGCCTCGAAGGACGCCGGCGCTCGGGGGGTGCGCGTTCTTCTCTCCTCCTCCATCCCCCGTCGTGCTCCTCGGCCTCCCCGTCTTCAACCTGCGCCGCCTTCTCCCGCTCCTCTTTCCCCTTCCTAGCCATTTCGCGCCCGAGCGGCCCCCCCCCCCTGCACGGGGCGCGCAAGGGTGTTTCGCGGGCCAACTTCGAAATGGCCCTGCCCGCGAGAACCGACATCAAGAAGCGTGCCGCCCCACGCCATCAGCTACAATGCTGAGATCGGGCGCGTGCGCATCAAAGAGACGTGGCACATTCCGTCCTCTCCTCGTTTCCCTCCTCCTCCCCTCCCTCCTCCTCCCGTCCCTCCTCCTCCCGTCCCTCCTCGTTTCCCTCCTCCCTCCCTCTCCTCCCGTCCCTCGCTGCCAAAGTGCAGGCTAACGTCAGAAAGCTAGAGCAGCACAGCAACGGCTACAATGTTGGGAGTGGTGCATGCGAAGGCAGGCGAGCAAGAGCCAGCCATGATCAGCAGTGCAATCAGCTACAATGCTGGGAGCGGTCCGTGCGGCGAGAACGTGCGAGCCAAAGTCATCAGTTCGTGTGGGAGACGCCATACCGAGGAGCAGTGCGAGAAAGCAGGCAGTGGCAGCAGGGACTGTTCACGAGGGAACCCGAGGAGGTAGCAAAGCAGGACCAGCATCTTCAGCTACATTGCAGCGGGGGTCAGCTCGTGCGAGAAGGCAGGCAGTGGCAGCATGGTCTGTCGGCGCGAGACGGCGGGCAGTGGCAGCAGCGGTTGTCGGTGCCGAGCGGCCGGCAAGACCAAGTTCTTCCGCTACATTGCAGTGGGGGTTAGCTCGTGCGAGAAGGCAGGCATTGGCAGCAATGTCAGTCGGTGCGAGAAGGTAGGCAGTGGCAGCCGCGGTTCTCGGTGCCAGTGGCCAGCAGGAGCCACATCTTCAGCTACATTGCAGAGGGGTCAGCTCGTGCGGCAGCATGACCTGTCGATGCGAGAAAGCGGGCAGTGGCAGCAGCGGCTGTCGGTGCCAATGGCCAGCAGGAGCAATTCGTCAGCTATTTCCAGCGGGGGTCAGCTCGTGCGAGAAGGCAGGCAGTGGCTGCAAGGGCGGTCGGTGCGAGAAGGCAGGCAGTGGCAGCAACAGTTGCCGTTGCCAAGCGGCGAGGCAAGGCAAGGACACTTTATCAGCTACAAAGCTGCTGGGGTCAGCTTGTGCGAGAGAGCAGTTGCAGCAGGGACTGGCAGTGCAAGAAAGCAGGCAGTGGCAGCAGTGGCCGTCGGTGCGAAAAAAAACAGGCACTGGCAGCTGTGGTTGTCTGTGCCCGCCGGCGCAGCAAGAACGCCTCATCAGTTGCACTGCTACTGGGGTCACCTTGTGCGAGAAGGGCAGGCAGTGGCTGCGGGAGCTGGCAATGCGAGAAGAACAAAGAGTGGCAACGAAAATGGCACTGCGTGCAGACGCAAGCGCACGTGCAAACGTCATCAGCTACGACGCTGGGGTCAGCTCGTGCGAAATGTCAAGTTTTCTCACGGAAGGCAGCAGGCGGCGGCGTGCGCCAGAGCACTCAGCAGGCCGCGCAGAGGGCTATGCTGAAGAAGGACGTGGCTCGAAAGATGGGCTAACCACCTGGAGGTGCCCATCCCCCCCCTCGTCGCTCCTCGTCGTCACGGCGGGGTCCTCGCCGCCACGTGAGAGAAACGGCATGGGGAATAAATAGCTGGACTGCACGTTATCAGCTACAAGTCCAGAGCAAAGCCGAACCTTATCGTCCGGGGGCGGCGTGGGGTAGGGGAAGCTTTCATCGCTACCGTTGTCCGTGCTTCGCGACCTCGGAATTCTGGCCAGTATGATCCAGCACCCCCTCGCCCTCCTCCTGCTCATTCCCCTCCTTCTTTCCCTCGGGGTGATGCACCTCAGGGTGACCAGCGCCACCTAGTCCGCGTTGTACCGCGGAGTGCGCGTGCCCTCGGCACGGTCTCAGCAGCAGGAGCGGCCGTCGCAGCAGCAAAACAGCACAAGCACCGGCAGGAGCAGCACGGGTGTGGCCGGGTGGGGGGGGGGCGCGGAAGGGAAGGGGGGTGGAGCGCGCGCCCATCGGGGGCGCAGGGCGACGAGGGCAAGGCTTCAGTCGGGCGCGCCTCTCTCTACAGGAGGAAAATGCAAAACTAGTTTTAAAGTCGTTTTGGGACGATTTTGATATTGTTTTTGATTATAGATGAGTAGTTTTGCACAATGTTTGATTCTTCGTCCAAAGTCCCCCTGTAGGAGGACATGCCCGACATAAAGACAAGGCCCCAGAGGCCCCCGGGCAGCGGCGGCTCGCGTCGCGGGTCCGCGCAGGACGGCAAGGACCAGTACCGGATCGACCTGGGCTCCGCCGCCGTAGCGCTGCCACCATCGTCGTCGTCGTCGTCGCCGTCGCCGTCGTCGTCGTCAATGCCCCCCTTGAGCTTCCGTTTCCAGTTCACTGCCTCTGCCCCGGCTTCTCTCTTTTCCCCATCCTCCTCCCCACATTCCCCGAGTTTGCCTGACCGTTCCTCTCTCCTCCATCCGATCTTTTTCCCGTTGCCCTCCCCGTCCTCCTTGCCACCCTTCTTGTGCCCTTTCTCCTTCCTTTTTGCTCCCCAGCCCCTTCCGGGGCCCCTCCTTCCCTTGGTCCCGTCCCCCCGTTTTTCTCCGTCCCAGTTCTTCCGCGTCCCCTTCCTCCTCGGTCGCCCTCCTTCTCCTAGTCCTTCCCTGCGCCCCTCCTTCTCCCAGCTTCTGGTGTTTGGCCGATGGGTCCGCATTCCTCCACCTCTCCCCAACGTCCCCGGCCCTTCGCTCCTCTCCCCTCCTTCCCCCTCCCCTCCACTCTTTCCCTCTCTCTGTCTCCATCCCGCTCCATCCCTGCGCCCCTCCCGTCCCTCCATGCCTCCCTCTCCCTTCCGCCGCTCCCTTACCTCCATCCCTCCATCCCTCCGTCTCGCCTTCCCTCTGTCTCCTCTCCCTCCCTCCCTCCCTCCCCCCCGCCCCTTCCCTCCATCCCTCCCCTGCGCGACTGCTTGCATGCCTTGCGTTTTATACGTCTTTCTCCTCGTGAAGGTGTTGTGCTCGTTGTTGTCCTCCTGCTTCGTTGTCGTGGTCGTCGAGCCCAGGCAGGAGTGTGTTCGACTGTTTTGCGCGTTCAGCCGTCCAAGCTCCGAGCTCTCGGTCACCACTGTGTCTTGCTCAATTGCTCGGATGGCTCATTTTTGTGTATATGCCACAAGTGCTCGTGTATGACGTCGGGGGGCCAAGTGCGCACTCTCGACAAACAGTGCGTGCCGAACAAAGGTACGTCACAAAGCAACCCTGGAATACATTGATAAAAAGGACTCCATCCGAAGAAGACTGGGGTCACTGTCGATTTGAACACGTGTTGCCATGTTTAGTGTCGCGTCGTGCTTGCGCAGTACGCGGCTCGACACCGATGATCTGATGTGCTCGGCCGTCCCAGATCTCCCCCAGTTGGTTTCGCCCACTTCTGGGGAGTATGGCGGGTTGCGGCATCGATGATGCAAACAAATCCTCATGAGTAGTGTGCATTGAAGTCTTGGAGATACTCGGCCCGATATCGTTCAGCCGCCGCCGCCTCCTCCTCCTCCTCATCCTCATCCTCTTCCTCGTGCTCCTCGTTGTTCTCATTCCCTTCGACGTTCGTCTCCGTTCCCCCCCAACAAAAAATCCTCACTCTTCCTCCTCCGTTCTCCCTCTTTCGTTTTCTCCTTCCTGTCAGCTGTTCAATTTGACTGCGACACCCTGGTGGTAGCTGTGTCGCGAGCTACGTCAGTGATGCGGAATCCGGGTAAACGTACATCGCGCAGCACAAGTTGCGATCTCTATCTAGTTTTAAGTCGCGCCTGTCCCTCTACAGGGGGAATATTCAAAACTAGTTGAAAAATAGTCTGGGGACCATTTTTGGAGTAGTTCTGGACATCTTCGGAGTGTTTTTGGGGTATTCTTCATTTCTCGTCTAAGCCCCTCTGTAGGGGGACAGGCCCGACCTAAATCGAGTTTGGCTCCCACTGCTGGGCCCTGTCGCCGCCCGCTGCTTGCACGTTCCTCCCCCGGCGGCCGACTGGCCCTGGTGGCCAGCCCGGCAGGCCCGCGCTGGATTTTCTAGGTCGCTCCTGCTGCGAAAGGCTGGGGGGGGGGCGCGAGTGTTTCCCGTGCGGCGTGCGCCCCCCCCCCCCCGAGCCCAGGTCGTTCGGATCCAATGGCGTATCTCGTGCCTCGTGCCTCTTCTCGTCCCGTCTCGTTTCGTTTCATCTCTCTTTTCTTCTCCTCTCTATTATGCTATCTTCTCTTCTCGCCTCTTACAGTTTGTCATGTCACCATAGATTCCCTGGATTCCCGCCTCTCTTATCTTATCGTATATAGTATAGGTTAGTATCTTCTCTTCTCG